CCAGCGGCAGAGCCGAGGGTCCGGGTGGAGGCGGAGGAGGAGCCAGCGGGAAACGAAACTTGGCCCGGCCGGCCGGGAAAGCGCCTGTCTGCGGGGGCGGGCGCGGAGCAGAGGGAAACTCCTCGGAACGCCCTTCTGCCTTCCCCACCCCGTGTCACTGGCCCCGGGTTGAGCGGGTTCGGTCCCGCGGGGAATGGGTCTGTGCGCGGATGGGCGCCAGCAATCCCGTGTCCCAGCCTCGGGATCCGGCCTGCCCGCCTGCCAGCAGCAAAGGGTCACATTTCCACGGGATCTCGTGGCTGAATCCTGGTGATCTTCTAAAACAAAAAAATTATTATTAGTGCAAATATACTCCACTGCTTAGAACTGGCCCAAAATGACAAACAAGTCCAAACCCAAACTGAACTACTTTGTTGAGTTGCAGTGCCCAAGCAGCACTGGGCTGTCAGGCATATCAGTAACTTGCCTCCATTATTTGGTTATTCAGTGCCTTGGTAACAAAACCAACAGACACAAATAGTTGTTGGAATAAACTGGTCTTTTAGAAGCCTGTTTTCATTTTTCAAGCAATTTTGCAATGGCGAATTTCAGCTTTCATCGGCTCAGATGTAGGAACCAGGAGCACTGCAAATAGCAATAGCACAGACAGTCTCGTGACAGCTGCTATGAGTAACATTGCCTAAATTGCCTACATTGTAGTTTTTGAGTTTTCAGAAGATCTAACTTAAAATGTTTGAGAACCTGCATCTTTGTAGAAAACTTCTCTTTTTCAATAGTTGGAGAACTGCTGCTTAGAGGTATCTAAAGTCAAACTTCTGACATGTTTTCTCAATTAATATACTCTACAAGAAATTCCTTAGAAACTTGTCTTCCTCTGGTCATCTCAAACACTTGCACAAATAACTTTTACTTACTGTAACTGTAGGGAGAGGGGAGCAGCTGGTAGGCAGTACCAGTTGCAAATCATCTGTACTAGCTGGAAACTGCCCATCCCGAAGAAGCTCATGGAAGTCTGGGCCAGAGCCACAACTGGGAACACAGGCTTGGAAGCTCTTCAATACAGTCCCCGTATCATGTACCAAAATTCATTTGGTTCTTTTTAAGGCTGTTTCATACCTGAGAACTCCAGCACCATTCCATGTCACTCAAACACATGGCTATGGTATCTGGGTATGGATACCAGAAGAAACAGGGTAAAATATGCTTTATTATACAGGAAGCCAATAGGTGGTTTTAAGACCATAATAATATCCACTGATTGAGAGTAGGGTTTCTTCTCAGCCATTATTTTGTCTGGCAGAATGACACGCTGTGCATGCCTGTCTTATCCATGGTCCCTTCTCCTAGTACTTGTGCTCCTCCAGTTTCCACAGTCACCAAATTAGGAATGTTAAACAGTACATTTTCATCTTTCCCTTTCAGCACCTGTTGTGGACCCTTGCTTATGGAGTTGGCTAAATCTCTTGTTGACTCTGTGATACAATCTACCTCCACAAACCCCTGTGGAGTTTCCCCAATTCCAGCAGTTCTACTGTTGCATAAAAACTTTATAAATTTTAAACTCACATCCTTATTTCAACAAGTGTCCTTTCAAATAATATTACTAATTTTGGTGAATAACAGTTCAACATTCAATTTATTTATTACCTACAAGATTGTTAAAGATCACTCAGATTTCCCCTTCATCTTTTTCATGTCAGAAATTACAGCCTCTATCCCTTGGTAAGGCAGATACTTCATCTCCTTGATCAGTTAGAAACAAGGATAACTTCTTTAATGGTAAGGTCCTGCCAAGATGTGGAGACCTGAACTGTACCATTAGTCAGGGTTTGGTTGCATTTACCAGTTTCACAGACCAGCAGAGTAATGCAATCTACCTTGTTTTGGGGTGATACTAAGCTTTGAGTTGACTTTTTTCTCTGCTGCCTCCCAATAGACCCATTGGTTTCAAAGGAGAAGCAACAGTGACTAAGATGTCCTTCCTTCCTGAGTTCAAGTGCCACTGCTGGGCTCAGCATCAGGTACACAAGGTTTTGATGACTCTTTTGGATCTGCACTGCCTCACCTTTATCTATACCGAAACTTTATCTATACTGAAACTTACCTGCCAATTTTCTGTTCATTTGTTTGCTCGAGGTCCAACTGACTTTCAGCCAAGTTTCATTTCAAAAGCGCTTGTAAAGCTGGCCATTTCCCTCACTGACCTCTCAGCTTCTTTCCTGTCTGTATTTTTTTTTTTTCTGGTTTGTTTGTTTGATTTTTCTCCAATGCTACTGCTGCCTTTCCCCTCTCTACTGAACAAATAGAATGCACTTACTTTCATTTTCTCTTCTCCCTTTTCCCATCTTATGGCCTTGATAAAACCTTGTTACAACTCTTCCTGAACCAAGCTGGTGGTGAGTCCTTAATTTATAATATGCTTATGAGATAATTCATAGTAGGCATATGATGCCTATTTTCCTGCCTAATTACTTTAAAGTACCCTCTTGCAGGATTCAAGTAAAAATATAGGAAAAGAGAGTTGTCTTTTTATGCCCAAGATGTTTTGTTGTATTTAAAACCAGTGAAGACAGTATGACTTTTTCAGTCTCTTTACAAGGACCTTTATAATTTTTCCTCTGTATAATATGAAGAAATGTTGAAGAACACATGTGCTAATTATGTACAAAACACTTTGCAGGAGCATTTTTACATCTTTGAATGTCCACTGTGCTTACATAAAACTACAGGGATGAGATACAGAGACAACAAGAGGCCATATGAATATT